TTCCTTTCCTCCAGTAGACCATACATCATGTGGCAATAAAGACTCAAATTCCTTCCACTTGTACTACGAATGGACTCACAGGCACTAGACAACATTTTAAAGAAGGAATCCACACCACTCCCACCAAGCTTACAACAATCTAAGAAGACACTATCACACCTTTCCCTTACAATAATCTCCTGTATTTCTTCCTTTCTACTTTCTTCAACAGGATTACTAATCTCATCCACATGACTGGCTATTACAATAACATGGCATTGAGTAAGAGCTTTCTGTGCTTCATTTCTCACAACTGTTAGCCACTGATAAAGCTGTTTGGCTGCTTCCTTTTCCAATATATTGACTACTATCAGGAACACACCACCAGAACCATGTAACAGATTCTCAATGACAGCACTGTGACTGGAGTAGTATTCTGAATGACCAGCAAAATCATGAAGAATGATGTTACCCAGTGTCCCATGCTGTAGTTTATAAGGAATGATACCAGCTGTAAAAGGCTCTACATCTCCAACATATCTAAAAGAACCAAGAAAAAAAGAACCAGTAGCTGTGTCATTGATGACATGACTAAGAGTACTTTTACCAGCTCCAGGATTACCCATAAGGAGGACGTTAACATAAGAATCAATTGGATGAGATAATTTTATATCACCAAACTTGTTAAAGATAGGAAGAGTACTGCATGCACTATGCCAGTTGTTCTTAGCTAGCTGTAATGGTGTTCTCCCCTTGTAGTCTTTAGCCAATGGATCACATTTACCAGTTGATAGTAAATATTCAACAACTGCAGAATTACTGTAATAAGCAGCAATGTGTAGAGGTGTCACCCCCTCATCGTCAACAGTCATTGGATCACAGTGTTTCTCATTGATGAGATACTTGACTGCATCAGATGAATTGCTTCTAGCTGCTTTATGAAGAGTTGTCATGTAGTTAAAGTCAGTAGCCATTGGATCACAGTGACACTCATTAATGAGATACTTTACGATATCAATGTGATCAGCAGCAAGGTGAAGAACAGTTTCGCCCACGTTGTTAGTAGCCATTGGATCACAGTGACACTCATCAATGAGATACTTTACAATATTAATGTGTTCAGCAGCACAGTGAAGAACAGTCTGACCACTATTGGTAGCATCCTTTGGATCACAGTGATGATGACTGATCAAGTACTTCATGACATCAAGTGATCCTGCTTTGTGAAGAACAGTATATCCATATGCATCAATAGCCATTGGATCACAGTGACAGTCATCAATGAGATACTTTACAATATCAATGTGATCAGCAGCACAGTGAAGAACAATTTCACTCGTGTTGTTAGTAGCCATTGGATCACAGTGACACTCATCAATAAGATACTTTACAATATCAATGTGTTCAGCAGCACAGTGAAGAACAGTCTGACCACTCTTTGTAGCAGCCTTTGGATCGCAGTGATGATGACTGATCAAGTACTTCATGACATCAAGTGATCCTTTATTAGCTGCTCTGTGAAGAAGAGTATATCCATATACATCAATAGCCATTGGATCACAGTGACACTTACTAATGAGATACTTTACAATATCAATGTGATCAGCAGCACAGTGAAGAACAGTTTTACCCTTGTTGTCAATAGCCATTGGATCACAGTGACACTCATCAATGAGATACTTTACAATATCAATGTGTCTAGCAGCAGCAAGGTGAAGAACAGTCCGACCACTATTGGTAGCAGCCTTTGAATCACAGTGATGATGACTGATCAAGTACTTCATGACATCAAGTGATCCTTTATAAGCTGCTTTGTGAAGAACAGTGTATCCATATGTGTCAATAGCCATTGGATTGCAGTGACACTCATTGATGAGATATCTCATTGTATCACTTGAACATGATTACCTTCTGCAGCCCAAGCAAGACAAGTAGTCTTAGCTTCATCATCACATTTATGTGGATCATAGTGATATTTAGTGACAAGATCTTTTGTAACATCTAACAGCCATGCTTTGAAGATAAATGAAGTAGACTAGTGTTATGCCATATTCGGTTATAAGTTCTTTTGATTTTATTTGGTTCCTTCACTAATGGTAGTAAGGAAACAGCTTTGTCATGTTTGCCATCTCTAAAGGCAGCCCAGCACTGGTCCTCTAATGACATTATCTTGTGTCTTGTTAAAGTTGTGATTCACTTGATTGGAGTCCGTGCTGCCACACCCAAACTTAAGGAATTCATTATCCATACACTATAACATGATTATCAGTAACTGATGGGGAGGGAGAATATGAACACAATCAGAAACATGTACATGTATGTACACAGCTGCTGTTCATTAAAACTTCACCAAACATTACTTTCGACAATTTTATTATTGGTTTTGTTATGATTAGATATTAATATGAACAGTAAGTCAATAAATTTCAGCACTTAGATTTAGGATAGGGTAGATTAAAAGAAAAAAACAAAGTACATGTACATGTAGGAAAAAAACAAATAATAGTAAAATAAAGATACAATTAGTGTAGAGCTGTGATCAGTTTAGAACATAATGAGTGATAAAGGTGAGCTGTAAACTATATCTATAGACTGATACTTGATTATGATTATTATTATTATTATTATTATTATTATTATTATTATCATTATTATTATAAAACTAGTAATAAAGATTATAATTATTACTATTAATATAAGTGAGCACCAAAGCAGTCGTAAAAGTAGAGAGAAAAGAAATAATAAATTAGGTAGGGTGAATTTCAAGAAATTAATTCATCACAGTGTTTATTTGTGACATAAATTCACATGCATACATTGAGGGCTGTAAAGTCTGAGGGTGAGATATCACTGATGAGAAGAGCTGGGGAAATTGCTGCCAGAGCTTTTAAAAAAGTAAATAATTGTATAATAAAAATATCTCATTTTATGATTTATTCACAACTTTCAACTACCTGTACAAACAGACAGACAGAAGCGATTTGGTCCCTTCCTGCTTTTTCCTCTTATTAGGGCTTGCTTAGGCTTGCCCACATAATGCTCGGCTTGGCTTGCTTTGTCTCACCCATTTAATCTTGAAATATATAATTTATCAAATAAAACAACTAAACAGATGAGCAACATGTAGTTCAATCAACTAATTTGATGGAGAATATTTATCTCTAATGTAAGAAGCAATAGATTTTTCTTCTATTGTGTCCAGTGCTGTAGCTAATGATGACCAACTGGGACCTCCTTTTTTAAATCGTTACAGCTCTTAATTTTGTTGATCCTATTAATAATTATTATAATTAATTGCAATCTCACTTAATATATTCAGCAACTGATATCTCTCCTACTTCACTAGCGGCAATAGCTAGTTTCTCCCATGTTGCTTCAATATCATCTGTAAGCCATTTTGCTAAACATTCTCTGAGACATCGCTCAGCATCTCGTGGATAGTTAGTCTCAATAACCTTGAGATCATTATGAATCAGACCCAAATAGAGACCAAGATCAAACCATTTGATAGTTTGAAAATGACCATCTTTTAAAACTCGTAATATCTCAACCAGATCCCTGATAGTCAATATAACTACAGTATTATAAGTAAATAAATAAATAAATAATGTGAAACCAGTGACAATGACTACTTATACCTTTTTGTTGATCATCATTGGACTCACTGATCTCTGTGGGTGAGTAATCTGGAGCTGATATGACCTTTTCAATTGTTAGCTCTATATAATGACAGTTCATTTGTGTAGTGTGAAAGTGTATTAATATGAAACAATTATAGTCTATGTTCACACTACATATTATAACATACCTAGCTCCATTGAAGTCATTGTGTTGGATTCTTCACTTATTTCAATCA